TTTTTTTATCTCTAGTTCTTGGGACCAAATCTAAGGCCTTCCATATGAGAAAGCAAACATTCTGTCACTGAGCTAAACATGCAGCCCCAGCATTGGGAAGATGCAAGTACTAAAAACTACTGGACTCTACTGTATTTTAAGACAGAGTCTCACTATGTAGTTCAGGCTGGTGTTGAACTTGCAGGGGTCCTCCTGCCTCAGACTTCTGAGCGCTGGGATGATCTGTGCTCCACAGCACCCAGCTGGATTTGTACATTTTTAGACGACTAAAATGGTAAATTTTATCTCAATAAGAGATTGCTCGTGGTGGCGCATGTGTAATCCCAGCTCTTGGGAGGCTGTAAACAGGCAGATCACTACAAGTCCGATCTAGTAGTGAAACCCTGAACACCCTGTAGGCCCTTCCCTAAAGTACAAAAAAACCAAATATATCTTAAGAAAAATTTTAAAAGACAAAAAAGATGGCCAATGGTGGCACACGCCTATAATCTCATTACTTGGGAAGCTGAGGCAGGAGGATTGCTGTGATTTGAGACCAGCCTGGTGTGAGCAGTGAGTTTAAGGCCAGCCTGAACTACATAGCAAGACAGTCTCAAAAAAAAAAAACAACCAAAAAAAATTTTTAAATAAAAGACAGATGAGGGCTGACCAAATAGCTCATCGGATTAAAGTGCCTGCAAGCAGGAACAGGGGCCGGGGTTCCTGAGACAGCGATTGAGACTGGGCATGGTGGCACATGCCTGTAATCCCAGCTCTTGGGAGGCTGTAAACTGGCAGTTTACTATGACTCTGATCTAGTAGTGAGACCCTGAACACCCTGTAGACCCTTCCCTAAAATACAAAATAAATAAATAAATGACAAATGTACCCAAGATTTGAAGAGTTTTGTGGAAAATTGAAGAAAAACTGTTACTGATTTTTTAGAAAGGACTGTTTGTTTGTTTGCTTGTTTATTTATTTATTTATTTATTTATTAAATGGTTTCACTATGCAGCTTGGACTCAGGATCCTCCTGTTTCAGCCCTCCCAGTCCTGGGATTACAGGGATGCTCCACCACTCCTGGTTACTGTGGCCGGCACTTAGATCACTGAGCTATCTCCCCAGCCCCTGTATTAGTATACAATTTTGTGAGAAACCTTAAGACCTTCCTGCTCCAAGAAAAGCAGGAGAGGGAAAAGGATTTATTCTTCCTGGTTCTGAAATTCAGAATCAGGCTGAGAGGGCCCAGAACTGAGAAGAAAGGAACCTGATTCCACCCAGCCATCATTCCCTCAGGCCAGCCTGGGTAGGTGGGGCCTGGCCTTGATTTGGGTAGCCCTGTGCTAAGCCAAGGGCCACTTGAGACAGAACATAGCTGCTTAGGGACCTGGGATGGACAGAGTAGTGTCCTTCCTGCCCCAGCTGCTGGCTTTGATCTCCGCTGGGCCCTGTCCCTCCCACTGTCAGCCCTGTCCTGAGGAAGTTTAGGGTATGTCCCAGGCATCCTTTTATTCACTCCAGGGAAGTCTAAAGGTCAAGGCTTTTGAGCAGCTCAAGGCCTCTTTCAAGAAAGGGTGAATGACCCCAGGAATGTTCAGGGAATATCAGGGAGACGCAGCTGGGTCTGAGTCAGCATGTTCCCCGGGGCGGGGTGGGGCTGAGGTCAGGGCTCAGGGCTCCATACCCTGCTTTCTTTCCCTGCCTCAGGAGGTAACTGGGCCTTTGAGACTCGCCACCACACTGTCCCACCCCAGGAACTGTGCTTCAGGAGGAGGGCAACCTGGGGCTCTGCCTCTCTCAAGAATGTACCAGGCCAGCAAAGCTTCATCTCTTCGCCCTCCCGAGGAGCCTTCTCTCCCCTCTGAAATGGTCCCCAAGCTCAGTGACGGTGCACACCTGGGATCCTAGCCCTGGAGACACTGAGGTTGGAGGATTGCTATGAGTTCAAGGCCAGCCTGGGCTACATAGTGAGTTCAAGGACAGTTTGCACTACAAACTGAGACCCTGTCTGAAAGAAGTAAAAAAGAAAAATAAATATATAAATTTTATTTAATTTTATTTATTTATTTTGAAGAACAGGGGATTGAACTCAGGCCCTTGCGCTTGCCAGGGAAGCACCTATTCCACTGAGCCATCTCTCTGGCCCCTAAGAAATTTTAAAAAGTTCCTCAACTGGGTGTGGTGGCACACTCCTGTAATCCCAGAACTCAGGAGGCTGAGGCAAAAAGATCGTTTTGAGTTCAAGCCCAGCCTGGGCTATATAGCAAGATCCTGCCTCAAAAAGACAAAAATACATACATATATACATACATACAATTAAAACAATTTTTTTAAAGTTCCTCTAACCTCCACAAAGGCCTTGACCTCTCTACACCTCAAGGCCTCCAACCTGGTTTCCTAAACTCATTTACCCTCAGCTTCCTCATCTGTAAAATGGGAATAAAGATAAAGTGTTCCTTAAAGAATGGCTGTGAAGGTAGATAAGGAGCATGTGACACTTCTTGTAGCACCTGGGACTCCGTGCAGCTGGTGGACGTGAGCAGGTTGTTAGGATGCACGCCTGGGTATCAGCATTTGGGTGAGGGAAAGCTGCTGAGGCAGGATGATCCTGTGAGCTGGAGGTCAGCCTGGGGCACACGGCGAGACCCTGTCTTGCTGTGACTTTATCACTCTATCAGCTAAACAAGGAAAATCTAGAACACTGTGTGTGCACCAGGCTCTGTGCAGGGAACCTAGGCCTAAGAGACACTGGGGCCAGCAGAGCTTAAACGGATCTGAAGAAGGAAGAGGGAGCCGCAGCCCATGAAACAGTTCCTAAGCACAGAACTTGGCAGTTCATACAAAACCTGTCAGGACATTCAGAGGCCTCACTGTGCACCTTCATCCTGTGGCCTCTCCGGGATGAAGATACGGCTTCCTCTTGGCCACAACTTTGGGCCCTGATGTGGGCCCTGATGTGCCCATCATCTACCCATTGGGCAGGGCAGGGCCTCCTCCCGGGCTGCAGCCCCCAGCAGCAGGTGCATCCAGGCCAGGCCCAGCCTCCTTCCCTGGAGTCCTGATTGGGTGTGCAGAGGGGAACTTTGTTCCCAGCTAACCCAGGCAGGAAGATGCAGAATGGGATAGGCCAGGCTGGCATGCCCAGGGCCTTCATCTGGAGAGATCACAGGGACCACGCCTGAGGGCAGGGAGGAGCCAGTGCCAGACCCTTGGAAGATCAGATTCCTCTAGGTTGAGCTCTGGAGGCAGCAGGTTGGCTCAGGAGACCCAAGGACAGAGCAAGCCAGAGAGATAAGCCTGTCACTTGCCTGCCCCAGCCTGGTCCTCTGGAAAGGGCAGCTGCCAGCAGAACCCCAGGGGGAGCTGTCCCTCAGTGCCTCCACCACCCACCCCACCTGCCGGAGAGAAAGTGGACGATGGAACCAGGCAGGACTCAGATACAACTTGACCCCAGGTAAGCGAGGGCAGCAGGCTCTGGGCTGGCAGCCTGTTGCCAGGCAGCAGTGGCCTCTATCAAACAAGGCTGTCCCTCCCTCGCTCCCCAGCCTTTGGCTTCCAGCACTCAGAAGAGACTGGGCTGAGCAGCCCGGTGTGCCCTGGGCCTTCAGGGAACCTGGGATGGGCCGGCTTGGGACCCCTTTGCCCAGCACACTGGGAAGAGAGAGATCCCCGAAGAAAGGGGCGTGGTGGTGCACACCTGTAACCCAGAACTCGGGAGGCTGAGGTAGGAGGCTCTCTAGTTCAAGTCCAGCCTGGGTCATTCAGTGCCTTAATGAACATTTGCCTCAAAGTAAGAAAAGGGCTGGGAATGTAGCTCAGTGCAGAGACCTGGGTTCAATCACCAACTTCGCAGCCCCACAATTCCAAACTCAGGTCCCATTTCTGCAGGTACACAGCAGAGCTCCTGGAAGTGCTGAGAACCAATTACAGCGTCCCAGTGGCCTGCTTCTCTTACCCCCCCACCGCAGCCCAGCTCCTGCAAGGTCAGTCTCCCCATCCCCCTCAGGGAGAGTCCCCAGGAGGAGGGGAGAGGAGGAGCTGTACACCCCAACGGGAGTCAGGACAGCTGGGAGCTGGGGAGCAGTGGGCTGGAGCAGGCTGCCTGGACAGCCTGGGGTGTCTGGCCTCCCCAAGTGACTCAAGTCCCACAGAGTCCTCTGGCCTGGAATCTCAGCACTCTGGAAGCTAAGGCAGGAGGATCACCCTGACTTCAAGACCAGCCTGAACTACATAGCTAGATCCTGTCTTAAACAAATGAACCAAAACCCAAACTCGCCCTCCTTGGGAAGGGCCCCCAGCACTCACAGAAGTGGCTGTTGTGAGAAGTGAGCTTGACTTAGCGACCTTTGGCAGAATTGCTTTTCAAAGTAAAAGGCGGAAGGTGGGACTCAGTTTCTTCCCTGCACAGCAAAACGTGATCCAATGCCCTGCACCTCTCTAGCAGGTGCCTCATGGGCATAGTTTGCTCTCCTACTCTGGGATCCCCACCTCTGAGTTGTGCAGCAGGAATCTCTGGTTCACCCCGTGGTTCCTGCCTGCCAGATGTCCCCTCAAGCTCGGTGCTGTCAGGGTGTGTGGGACATGGCCATGGCTGTCCTGGGCACAGCTCCACTCCCCATGTCTGGGCCCTTGTATGTGCTGCCACATGCCAGGCTGTCCTGAGATGCCAGTTGGGGGGATGGTAGTGCCACCACAGGCTACTCTCCCCAGCTCTGGAGCCTCTTGCTCTGAATGCAGCTGGTGGCCAAGTCTCCCTCACTCAGGACTCTCTGTCCAAGGGACATTGAGCAACGTGTGGTGACAGTTGGGGTTGCCACACCAGAAGTTGCCACTGGCATCACATGGGCAGAGGCCAGGAGGCTGCTAAGTCTTCTATGACCCCCAAGCCTGTCCCCTACACCAAGGAAAATGTCATTAGTGCTCTGGTTGAGAAACCTTGCCTGACAGAGAAATAGTTCTGTGGCCTTGCTTAAAAATGTGCAAATGGGGTGATGAAAGTAGGAGACCATCTGGGGCTAGCAGTCAGGCAGACGGCGGCGGGGCTCAGGGGTGCTGTGCGGGGGTGATGGGCACTAATGGGGCCCTGGCAGTGACAAAGTGAGAGCAGGGGAGCTGGGTCTGGCTGGACTCAGGGGTGCAGTGAGGAAAGAGGAGCAGGGACCCCTGAGAGGCTTGGCAGGACCCCTGAGCTCGCACTTTATCCCAGGGCAGGAGCTGGGTCTCCACATGTGCTTGGAGACATTAATCAGTAATCAGTGATGGGACCTTGAGAAGCAGGGAAATGAACAAGAGGTCATTTCCCCTCAGAAGAGGCCAGGCCAGAAGAGATTGTGGTGGATACGGAGCGGAGAAGGGCACACCCAGGGGCAGGGATGGCCCAGCATGCGCTGTTGGGAATTGAACCCAGGTCCCTGAGCTTGCCTAAGCAGGTGCTTAGTCTGCTGAGCTATCTCACCAGACCTCTGTCACTGTTTCTTAAATCAGTATTAGTTCACTATTTAAGAACAAGCTATTCTGTTTTGGGGAGTTTGGTAGTTTGTTTTGAGACAGGGTTTCCCCATGCAGTTCAGGCTGACCTTGAGGTCACTTTGTAATCCAGGCTGGTCTGAAACTGGAAAGGGTCCCCCAGTCTCAGCCTCCCCAGTGCTGAGGTTATAGGCATGCGCCACCACACCTGGATTTCTGTTAATATTTTTTAAAAAAATTATAATACATTTGTTGCAAAGATTTTTATGGTGTACACATATTTTTCATGCTTATATACTACTTTATGACTGACAATATTTCCTATGTCACTGGGCATTTGTTTCTAATTTAAATCTACTAATAAAAAAATAAAGCTACTAATCAATCATATCATAGACTAAAAATAATGTAATTTTTATTTTGCATTTCTCTCTCTACACTCAGGTGGAATATCACCCATATGCTTTGAGCTAGGTTAATATCATTTACCTTTTTCTCTGCAAGAGCCTCCTATTTTTATTGCCATTTTTTAAAGCAATAAAGATCTTAAATCTGAGTGTACCTTATTAAAAATATTTTCCTTCAGTCTGTCTGCTGCTTCTTTTTTGTTTCAACTCTCAGGAATCGGAACTTTTGGTAGTGAATTTGACAACTACTTGCTCTGTAAATTTTGGGAGTACTGTCATACTTTGGTGGATCTTCCCTCTCCAATGTTTTAACAAATATACAATTCTTTTCCCAATTTCTCTATTTGATTTTCAAAGACATTTCTTTAACACATCTGAAATTATTTTGATGTTTGGTAGATTTTATATATATGGCTATGATCATTTTATTTTATTGTTTATTTTTTAAGACAGGGTCTTGCTATATAGTCCAGGCTGGCCTTGAACTCACAGTGATTCTCCTGCCTCAGACTCCTGGGTGCTGAAATTATAGTCCAGGCATGTGCCACCAGGCCTGGCTTCTGAAAGTCCCTTGTGAAAAGGCATGGAACCAACATTTTGAAATCACACAGCCTGCAGGGACAGCTGGGCTCTGGTCTCCATTCACTGGCCTCTTCCTCCTCCACTCCAGCCCTGGGCCCCATGGAAATAGCCCTCATGGTCATCATGAGCCTCTTGGCCCTGGGCTCGGTGGGCCTCTACTTGGAGGATGCTGTCTACCTGTACAGGAACACCGGCTGCCCCATCAAGCGCAGGACCCTGCTCTGGAGCAGCTCTGCACCCACGGTGAGGCCTGGGGCTGAAGGAGGCAGGGCTGTCTGATAAATGCCTCTAGATGCCACCCCGTATGTCTACAGGCTCTGCCTGCCACTGCCACCAGGGCTGAGGGGCAGAGGGGGCAGGGAGAGGGTGAGAATCAGAAGGCCAGCAGGCAGCTCCATTTCCAGGGAAGCGCTTATTCCACTGAGCCATCTCGCCGGCCTGGCGGCTCCATTTCCAAGGGTGTGGACGACTGAAGCACTTGCCCAGCCCCAGACGCAAAGCCCCTCCTGCTCCTTGCCACCACAATGCTGGAAAACCAGGAAGACAGTCGCTTGCTCTGGAGCAGGCAAGCTGGTGATGCACTTGGATAATCCCAGGACTCAGGAGGTGGAGGCAGGAAGATTGCCCAGAGTTCCTGGCCACCCTGGAGTGAGTGTAAGGCTAGCCCGGACTATACAGTGAGACCCCATCTCAAACACAAAACAAAAAATCCTATAGGCAGACAGTGACTCCCAGCGTGCAAAAGCAAAAAACGACCTTTCCCTGAACCATCACCTAGCCTGTTGGTTTCCTGATTTATTTTTCCAGCTGAAACCTTTGGTTTTTATTGTGTATTTTGGTGCGGGGATGGAGCTGGCCTTGCAGGTACTAAGCTTGGGCCTCCACTCAGCCACACTGCAGCCACAGGGGCCCCTATCGCTAAGGATAGCACCCTGCAGCGCAAACTCCTTGCCCACCTCGCCCTGCCCTAACGCATCCACTCCTCCTCACGCAGGTAGTGTCAGTGCTGTGCTGCTTCGGTCTCTGGATTCCCCGCTCACTCACACTTGTGGAAATGGCCATCGTTGCGTAAGTGGTAGCCCCAGGCTGGCTCTGGGTGGCAGCACACTGGGTCCTGTCCTCTGCCTGGGCTTTGTCTCTAGGCCTCTAGTCCTGCTGATCAGGAATCTGCCCTTTGGCCTGAGCTGACCCAAAGTGCCTGATCTGCCTAGGCTATGACTTATTTGGCCCATTCCTGTCACCTCTTTGTGCCCACAGCCCAAACTTCCTTCTATCCCAGGCCTGTCTCTCTCTCTCCCCTCGGGTCATAGTCCTGAACGTCAGCCCCTATCACCCCTACCCTGTTCCCTAGTCTCTCTTCTCCAGTGGCAAAGGGGTGTCCCCTCAGTTGCCCCACCACGGACACCTGTTTCCCCCCACCTAGGTTTTATGCACTGTGCTTTTACCTGCTTATGCTGGTCATGGTGGAGGGCTTTGGGGGGAAGGAGGAGGTGCTGAGGACACTGAAGGACATCCCAATGAGGACCCACACAGGGCCCTGCTGTTGCTGCTGCCCTTGTTGCCCTCCTCTGCTGCTCACCAGGTGAGGCAAAGCTAAGGAGGGGAGAGTGGCAGCCTCACCCTGGGGAGGGGAAACCATACCAGGGAACTGGCTGGCTGTGGCCCTGTCCCTCCACCCCACAGTGGCTGATGAACTGGAGGTCATACCCTTGGCTCCACCCAGGGTGGGCGCTGATGTGGAGGGGGGAGGGACAAGGAGTCCATGGCTTCCTGTCCCATCCATGGAACTCTTGGGTCTGTGATGTCCCAGGGGAGCAGGGAGGCCTCCTGTCCCAGGGTGGGTACGAGCCACGTGCTGCCCTCTCCCCTCAGGAAGAAGCTGCAGCTGCTGATGCTGGGCCCTTTCCAGTACGCCTTCTTCAGGATCTCACTGTCCCTGGTCGGCCTCTTCCTAATCCCTGATGGCATCTACAACCCAGCAGATGTAAGCCATGAGGGAGGGGATGGTAAAGTCCAAGACTGCTCAGTACCAGTGGGTCCAGATGAGACAGTGGGTGCCAGCAGCCCCAGCCCCAACGCCACAGGGACAAGGAGGCTGTGAAAAAGTTGAAGCCCAGGAACTTCACAGGAAGGAGACGAGGCTAGAATTGGCCAGTGCTCTGCAGCCTTCTGGTCACTTCCCAAGATGTGGGAGAGAAGTTGAGGAGGCCGGGACTGCACCCTCCCTGATTGCTCTGGGGCTGTCCCCAGATTTCCGAGAAAAGCACTGCACTCTGGATCAACACTGTGCTTGGTGTGTCTACCCTGCTGGCTCTCTGGGCCTTGGCCATCATCTTCCGTCAAGCCAAGCCACGCCTGGGCGAGCAGAACATGGGAGCCAAATTTGGTCTATTCCAGGTAACTGCAGGACTGCAGGGAAAATGTTTCACAGTAGGGCTGCAGTCAGTTGAGATGAGGAGGTGGGAATAATAAAGACTAAAAGCAGAACTAAAAACCTTCCCCTGAGCTGTGGCTTCCTGGGAAAGTGGGAACATGAACTCTGCCTGTCTCAATTTTTTTTTTTCTTCATGTATTTGGTACAGGGTCTCACTACACAGCTTAGACTTGTAGTGATCCTCCTGTTTTCAGCATCCCTAGCACTGGGATTATAGGCCTGTGGCACCACGTATGGTCTCAGTGGCTGGCTCAGCATGCCTGGGGGCAGGACCAGCTTGCCACATGGTGCTGGGGATCAAACCCCAGTCCCTGTGCTTTGCCTAAGCAGGTGATTAGTCTGCTGAGCTATCTTTCTGGCCCTTCTCTGTCTCATTTTTTTGTGGGCCTTCTATGAAGGGGCTGCCATAACAAATAGCACAAACCAGATGACTGAAATCATGGGTTCTAGAAGCTGGAAGACCAAAATCAAAGTGGGCCTCATCCTGAAGTCTGCAGCAGAATCCTGCCTGGCTCCTCCTCCTGCCTTGGAATCACTTGGCGGCTGCTTTCTACTCCATCCCTGAGTCCATGGTCACATGATGCTCTCCTGCCTGTGTCTGCATCTCTTCTACTTTTTATGACTCTGGTCCTGCTGGGTGAAGGGCCATCCCTTTCCATAATGGTCTCATCTCAACTAATTACATCAGCAGTGATTCTGTTTCTAAATAAGGACATTCTGAGGTGCCCAAGGACAGAACCTGACATGTTTTTTTGGGATACAATTCAACCCAGAACATGTACATGTAATTAACATGGGTTGAATTGTATCCCAAAAAATGTTAACATACATGTTAACATGCACATTAACATGCACATGTTCTGGGTTGAAGGGTATGACCACCAGTTCATCAGCCACCATGGGGCAGAGGGACAAGGCCACAGCCAGTCCTACCTATCACTGCCAAAAGCTCTGCAATTCATTAAAATCATCACCATTAACACTATAGTAACCAAGGCTATTAACTGCCTATGTGAGACACCAGGCACTTTGTACATATTCTTGTAAATGTCCACAATAATTGTAGGAGACATTATCATCCCTTATTTAGGGGGAGAGAAGCAGAGCCAGAGATGTGCTGAGGCCTCCTCATAGGCAGACGAGGGATGCAGCTGGAGTTTAAAGCAGCTCTAGCCCCGAGTGTCCCTTGCTCCTTCTCACTGCACCGTCTCATCACCCCCACACCTTTCGGGAAAATTCTACCAAAGGCCCCCTTGTCCACCTCCTAGCTTTGCACTCTTAAACCCTATGCCAACCTTGCCTCCAAGCGTGGTGCTGTGACCCAGCCTGCTGACCCTGCTCTCCTCCATCTCCTTGCTGCTACCTCTCCTACTCGAAGGCCTAACACCATGACTGCTTCAGCCTTTATCATCGGCTTTATTTTTTTTTGAGACAGAGTCTCATTATGCAGCTCAGGCTAGCCTTAAATTCACTATGCAGCCCAGGCTGTCCTTGGTCCTGTGATGATCCTTCTGCCTCAGCCTCCTAAGCACTGGGATCATAGGCATGCGCCACCATGCCCAGCTCATCTTCTCTTTTTGCTGTAGTGAAAGAAGCATAGAATTTACCATCTTAGTCATTTTAAGTATTCAGTCAGGTGGCAGTGAGGCCATTTATACCCATATGCAAACTGTCACCTCTCTCTGTGTTGAGGGCTCTTTCATCCCCAACTGAAAGTGTGAGCCTGCTGAGCATGGGCTGCCCACTGCTCCTCTTGCCAGGCCCTGGCAGGGCAGTTTTCAAAGAGTTTTCACAGGTACTGCCCAAGTGCTAGCTACCTGGCCTGGATAGACTTTGTCTTCTCCAATAACTTGTCTTTCTCATCCATTAGAGGCTATTAATGGCCATGGTTACAAGTGGGAGTGGCTGCTTGCCAGTAACTCTAGTAACACACTGGGTGGAAGACTGTAATTTGGCTAAATATTAAAACTCCACATTTGCAGTCAAGTGTGAACCCCAGCCTTGGTGACCCACAGACCGCAGGGTGGGCTGGCAGGGGTGGGTGGACATGGTCCTCGCTCACCACACCCGCCTGCTCACAGGCGCTGCTCATCCTGACTGCGCTGCAGCCCGCCATCTTCTCCATCCTGGCCAATGGCGGTCAGATTGCCTGTTCACCTCCCTACTCCTCCAAGATCCGGTCTCAGGGTGAGCACTGTGCTTCAGCCAAGACATGGGTGGGTCAGAGGAGAGGGCCTTGGGACAGGTCAACCTGACCTCTGCCCTCGGGGGCCAGCAAAGTGCCTAAGAGTCCATGCAGGGCTTTCAGGACTGTGGCCACCCAGCAACCTGCAGCCAGGCCTGATGGCCTCCCCAGGAAGCCCAGGGCTCAGGCCTCCACTGCTGAGAGGAAGGATATGGCCGGAAGTGGGTCAAGCTGACTGAGCACATAGGAAATGTGACTTCATGGTGGCCTCAGATCAGAGGGTAGCGCACCACATCCTAGCTCTCGCTGTGAATCTGCTTTGTCACTGAGATGTAGGGTCAGCAGAGGAATCTCTGCTGGCTACATGGGTCAGGGCTGCTAGGGGGCTGTCCTGTCTGTAGCCAGGCACATGACCTGTCCCATCCCACCCCACAGTGATGAACTGCCACCTGCTCATCCCGGAAACATTTCTGCTCACTGTGCTGACGCGGAGGTACTACCGAAGGAAAGACCACAAGGCTGGGTATGAGATCTGCTCATCTGCAGCCCTGGACACAAGCTCAAGGGCCTGAGGGACACTGTGCTCGTGGGAGCACACGATTTCACAGCCCCCAACCCCGACCAAATAGGCAAGCATTTCCAGGGACAGTGACAGCTGGTAAAACCACTGACTGGAGATACAAGGGAAACTATGCAATGTGATGAAAATATTTTGGATCTTGCCCAGAAATATATTTTAAATTTTGTAATAAACAACCAGGATAAAGTCTGAGAATCTGTAACCAGGCACACTGCTTCTGAGTGTCCCCAGCAGCCCAATCAGCTTGGGTCTGGAAAGGGCAGTCTTCGAAGCAAAGCAGAAACAGTGGCATGTGTGGGGAAGAGCTGGAGGCTCTGGCTGGACAAAAGCACACTCACTCAATGTCCCAAAGACAGGATTCAGGATGACAAATGGAGCTTTCCTCACAGGTGTGTCACTAGGGCACTGACACTGCAGGTCGGGAGGAGCAGAGCTTGCTTTTAGTAACTGCTAGCTTTGTGAGTTCCTGTGCCTGGCTGCAAAAGGAAGTGTCCAATTGTCTGGTCATGTTGCTGGTCCTGAGCAGAGAAATCAGGATACAAATGCAGAGGAACTGAAAGTGCCAGGAAAGCTCCCAGCGCACAACACACACACGTGCATAAAACATGGAATTGGAACTCTAGGTGAAACCACAATGCCTTTATTTGGCTAAATGACAAAAGCCAAAATAACTCTGAACAAATGAATCACAGATGGGAAAAATTTCTCACTGAACCCACCTGAGGCAAATTGCTTACGATTTTGTGCCGGAGGTGGGTGGTGAGCCCTGTTCCCAGACCCTGGTTCTTTCCAATACTGTTGCCTCTGCAGGCAGGATCCTCCACACAAAACACCCAAGCCCTCTTGATGTTCCAGTCAGCACCTCCCGAAAACCTGGGCGGAAGGCCCACTTTAACCTAAAGGGATGCGCACTAAGTCATCCTGTTTAATCCCAGTCTGAGTATTAACATAATACTTTGGCAGACAGAAAATCTTTCAAGACAATTAATGTTTTATGATATAACTTCCAAGAACATGTTCTGCCTATTTGGAAAAATAGAGGCTAGGGACAACTCTTTAGCCCCTGACTATGAGAGAAAACAAGAGCCAAAAATATAACCTTTAAAAATACTTATATTGGCAAGCCTTAAAAATGCCAGTAGTGGTAAAACACTATTAAGGGAGCTTTCTAAAAAAATTCATTCTTCCCTGTATTGGTTCAACTTCCAGTGAGTATATGATGACAGAAAACCTAGAAGCTATGGCCTGCAGGGAATGAAAAGAAAGCAGCAGAATGGAATCGACTTGGAAAGATTTTAGATTTAGAAGGGGGGTGAGGAACTGGATGAAGATGGCAACAAACTCCAGGATGGAAGGTGCTCACAAGTGACGACAATCCAGGAACAGTAACAAAGCACTGGGGACATTTAGCACTGCCTGACCAGCCTCCCAGCCACTGTCACTCAGGTACTGCTACATGATCAGTGATCAGAAAGAATCAAGTGGGGCCTGGGAGGTGGCTCAGTGGAATAAGTGCCTCCCTGGCAAGCGCAAGGGCCTGAGTTCAATCCCCGATTCCGGAAAAAAAAAAAAAAAAAAAGAATCAAGTTACTCAATCTCCTTCACATTTTTTCTCTCCTTCAAGATTTTTTTTTTTTCTTATTTTTTGGCTTTAGATAGGGTCCCACTATGTAGTTGAGGCTGACCTCAACTTCATGGTAATCCTCCTGCCTCAGCCTCCTGTGTGCTGGGATTATAGGTATGTGCCACCACGCCCAACTGCCTTTAGGATTTTCAACCTCCTCACATCACAACCTTCTTCCCGTTTCTGCAAGGTAATAATGGTCTTTGGCTTTAGCTACAGAAGGCAATAGAAGGAGCAGTCCATTTTCTTTCTTTTTTTTTTTTTTTTTTTTCAGAACCAGGGATTGAACTCAGGCCCTTGCGCTTGCCAGGGAAGCATTTATTCCGCTGTGCCATCTCCCTGGCCCCAAGCAGTCCATTTTCTAAACTTTCAGTCTCTATTTTTAGTGCTCCTCTGCATAGGGTATGAAAAAGGCCACTGAAGCAGCTCCTTCTCAGTACCAGCACCAGGGCTCCACCTTTGGCCTCCTCCTGTTCTGCAGCCTGAGGGTCCTAAACCAAGCAGCTTTTATCACTTGTCCTCTTGGCTGTCTGACCCATCTGGGTGGGCAGCTCCTTTGTATGGGATTCAGAGAGCAGCTCCCAGCCTTAAACGTTCTCATGTGAATAGGCCTAGGCCTCAGGCCCGGTCATGGAAGACAGACCTCTAGACTCACTTAAATGGGCACTGATGGCCCTCATGGAGGACATCCTTCCCACAGCACCTTTGATCAGAACTGTCCCAAAAGGCCTGACCTGCCACGCTGTGTAACTTTCTGCTTTCAGTCTGAGTTAATTTGAGAATGTACCATCTTAGGAAGCTAAGGCAGGCAGAAGGCAGACTGCCTCCTAGGCACACATGCACAGGCCAGGCCCAGCCCTGCCATACAGTGCGGGCCAAGCACAGGGCCTGCCCACAAGCAACTCAGTGGAAAGGAAGGTGTGGCCAAGCAATGCTGGGCACCAGGGCAATGAGCCAAGTGAGCGAGGAGACCCACCCAGTTATGGGGGCTACTCCTCTGCTGCTGGGAGGCACAGGCACGCCCAGAACAGGCATTTCAACAGCTCTTCATCCCAGGAAGAGTAAGGCAGAGAGAAACAGGCAGCATTCCTAAGAGGGAATACCCAACTAGAGACTTTAGAACATGAGCAGACATACAGCTGTATATGGCTAGGCATTCTGGCTCATGCCTGTAATCCCAGCACTCAGGAGGCTGAGGCAGGAGGATCACTGTGAGCTGGCGGCTACAAAGTGAACTCAAGGGCAGCCTGAACTGCATAGTAATACCCTGTCTCAAAAAATAAAATAAAATGAAAAGCTGTACATGTGGGAGACGACTTCTGCTGTTCCAAAGACAGGACACCAGGCTGAGGCTGGTGCAACTACACTGGACAGTAGGAAGGGTGCTTCAGGAAAGGAGCTAGAAGTGTAGTTCTATCCTGTGTCCTTCCGCGTGGCCAGCTGCCACCTGCCTGGCTCTCTGACTTAAGCCTAGGTAGTCACGCTGCAAAAGCAGAAGAGCCGCCTTGGCCACGAAGCATCAGGGTGGGGCCTGAGATCCTCAGAGTCCTGGCTCAGGGGCTGTGAAAGAGAAAATGTGGTTTTTCTTTCTAAAAACACAATTACTCCACAGGGGCTATTTATGAATGGCAGGGGCCTCGTACACAAACACGTCCCCCAATCCAGAGACAAGATTTTGGGTGCTCACATGGCTGAAGCGACAGAATGCCGAGGGACCCGGAATCAGTGTGCTCAACAGCGACAAGCATCGGCATTCCCTGATTTGAAATTCAAATGCTGACAGCAGCCTAAGCAGGGAGGGGACCGTGGTGCCAGGCACAGGGTGGAGAGGGAGAAGCACAGCATGCTTCAGGGGAACTAAAGAAGTCCCTGCTGTGCAGCTCCTGCGGTAAGGAAATGCTCGCCTGCTTCCCAGCCAGAACCCAGCTCAGAATGCAGAGGGCAGGATAAGGCTGTGGTTCTTTATGTGTTGGCTTCCACGTCCCGTGCCAGCCTGCACTCTGCACTCAGTGTCGATGAGCAACAGGGATAAAGGGACCAAGTCTGAGCTGTGGCCACTGTCAGAAGCTAACAGCAATGGACAGTCGCAGGCCCAGAGCAGGATCCCAGCAGCAGGTGAGTCTAAGCAGAATTTGTGCAGGATTGATTCTGTCCCACGCCCCTCTCCAGTCACCATAACCCTCAGTGTCCCTTCCTTTAAGGGCAGGCTGCGAGAGAGAGGCTGACAAGAGCTCCCACATAACTGGGCAACAGAATGTTCTGAGAAGACGAACACTGAAGAGAAACTGCAGCTGACGCCGTGCAGTCTGGTTCCGTCCCCGTCAGCATCTTCACAGACCCCACTGGGTCAACAAGAAACTCCTCAGGGAGTAAGAAAAGTCAGGCTCAGATCCTCTTCCCACAGCCATGCCAACAGTGCATGGCTAGGGGACTGGTGCAGGTCACTCTGGGCAGTTTTTAAGGACACTGAGATTACACCCTTTCTCCACAATGGCTGTCAGCACAGCTCCGGCTTCAGGACAGAGGCAGACTCGCCAGCATAGGAGGAAGACAAGGCTGCTGAGTATTACACGGCCTCCTCCTTCTGCCCACACCTCAGGGCAGAAAGTTAGTCCTACTTACTATATTTCAAAGACTATTTTTTAAAAAATAATAAAAATGACATTTTCTGTCAAGATCACATGAACAGAACCAGTAAAGCAAAGTCCTTGAGGCAGGGTAGGTGGGTGCAGACAGACTTCTAAGATGCAGCCGGACTCCTGGGTGTAGTGACAGATGTCTCTTAAGGGTAGGCTGCTTGTCCCCCATTCCTAGGTCCTTTGGCCCCCAAATTCTTTCCTTTGTAGCTGTTCTTAGGCTTAGTGTTAGGATCACAATGCAGAATCGACAGAGAGCTTCTGAAGATGACAGGATAGAGGTAGGGAGAGGAAAGGGGTACAAGTTAGTCCTCTTCATCCTCACTGATGTCGTAGGCCACTGCCTTGCGCCTAGAGACACCAGCTGGGGAGGAGGGGGGGGACGTCTTGCCGGAGAAGGGCCAGCGGAAGGAGGGGGAGGGGGAGCGCTCCCGGGTTGGGCTGCTGCTGGGGCTCTGCTTGGGGCTGATGGCCTGCAGCATCCGGCCTTTTCCCTCTTTCAGCATGTGTTTCTGGGGAGACCAAAAGGAAGAGTTAGTGGACACCTCAGGATCAGCTAAGTCATTGCTGGGACACCCAAGACTTCAAAGGGCATCGTGCCCGTATGACTTGTCTTTTCTGTGTTGCTGGGGATCAGATCCAGGCTGCGAGCAGAGAGCTCTACCACGGAGTGCCAGCCCCTGCCACGTCGGGCCTGCCTGAGTCCACAAGAGAAGGGGCAGCTACAATTTCAGTGACTTCCGCTGGAAGATGCTCTATGCTAGTGATGGTGAACCTTTTAACCTTTCAAAGTCCCACCGCACATGGGGGCCACAGTTCACCACTGCGGCTCTGCTGTGCTATTTTCCTCTCCCACCTGCTACCCATCGTCACCACTCCTTTGGCTTCTATGTCAAAGGAATTCTCTGTAGGCTATTTAATCTGTAATACAGTTTCCAGATTAAAAGACAAAAGAACTAATTCAGACAGTGATCTAGCCCAATTTTTTGGTTTTGCAGGACTTAGTGCTTGCTAGGCAGGCACTCATGCCACTGAGCTGCTTTTGGTTTTTTGAGACAAGGTCTCCCTCTGTAGTTCAGGCTTGGGGGCCTGCCCCTTAGCTCAGTTCTTTAAGTGGCTGCTTCAACAAAGCAGTCAGGCTCAGGTTGCTGTGGTTCGATCCCCACAACTCAAGCCAGCCAAACCTGCCCTGAAGGCACTGGGAGGAAAAAAAAAATCCTTCTGTAGTTAAGGCTGGCCTCAAACTCATGGTGATCATTCTGCCTCAGCCTTCTGGATTATAGACATGTGCTACCATACCTGGCTAACCCAGTTTTTAGTTCTCTGAAAAGGAATTCCCCCATTCTTTCCCCCAAATTTGCTTCCATATCCAATACCACCATGGCCACATCATTCCAGACCTGCCTGGGCCCACTGCCCCTGGGATCCCACAGCAGCTCTCTGCAGTGAAGGCAGCTTTTTCACTGTACTTTATTCTCTCCTTTCCTTCCATTGAAACCATACTGTTGAGAAATACGATGGACAAAGCTACTAGCTTATCTTGTCATCAGACTGAGGTTGGGAAAAGGCTGGCAAGGTTACTTAAAATGTGTAACTTCTTTCTGGAAGGATCTGAAAGAATGTTTGGGGGTAGTTGGAATGGTTCTCCCAGATAAAGGGGTACAGGGTAGGTAGCTTCTTAATGTCGATGTGCCTTTCTGCTTAAGGGTTCTGAGATTCTTTCCTCAGGACAGAGGTTCCCTGAATTTCCCCGAAATTCCCTCAGCTGTCCAGCGGGAAAGAACCATACCAGTGCTCCTTCTGGACCGAACATTTCCAGGAAATTGCCAATGAATTCTCGGGACTTCTCCTCCCATTTCTGGATGAGGTCAATGCTTTTTTCTTCCACCTTCTGAACAAATTCTTTGGATCTTTCCTCCACATCTTTTACTTTCTTCTTTACTTTGTCAACCCGCTCCTGTAGGTGATATTTCTTCTCCTGGGTGAAGAGGTGACAGCTGTGAGAAATAATACCCATCTGACTTTCCCTACCAAGAGAGAGAGAGAAAAAAATGGCTACTGACACTCAGTCTTCAGTGCTTATAATTGTGCTTTGCTTTAATCTACTCTACACTAATCTCATTCAGCCCACTAATGGAAAAGACAAACTCTGGACCAACACTGCACATGCAAGTGTCATAATTCAGGCCTGGCCCAGTGACAGACAGGCACAAAGCCAAATGAAATCAGGCTTTAAGATAAAACCAACATGACCCAAACCTCCTTCTGGATTGAGATGTTTAGGCAGCAAAAAGACCAAGAATAGAGTGAAACTACAAGTACTAGATCTTTATTTATGAACTTGGATTTTTTTCCCTATTACTGGCTTATTTTATGACTTTAGATTGAGATGTGTATCTTATTTTTTTACTATTTGAAGGTTCATTTACTCCTTTGCAAAATGAAGATGATACTCTCTGGTTGTGCCAACTTTCCTAAAGATAAAGAAAACTAACAAATAAATCTATCTAAAGTGCTTTACAAAAAAAAAAAAAAAAGATAAGGAAAACTAAGATGAACTAACTCCCCCCACCCCATGTGTTTGTGGGCATGTTTATGAAATAAAAACTCATAATTTCCAGATCATAAGAAAAATATGATCCGGGCATGATGGCCCATGACTGTAATCCCAGCACTCAGGATTGCTGTGGGCCCAAGCTGGCCTGGCCTACATAGTGAGTTCAGGACTAGCCTAGAGTGAGACCTGCGTCAAAAAAATAAAAAAAAAACATCAACTCCACATAGAGAATGTAAATACTACGTACTGCAAACATTTACATTTAATAAATAAATGTTAAAAAAAAAGACAGAAAGGGAGAAGTTGTTGTGTAATTCAGCGATAAAGTACAAGTAGTTGTTTTGTTTGTCTTTTTGAGACAGGTTTCCCTATGCAGTTCAGGCTGACCTTGAGCCTAAATTCAGTTGAATGCTGGGATTACAAGTGCATACCACCATACCCAGCACATACTTAGTTGTGCAAGGACATGGTAGGAAAATGAACAGGCAGGGGGAGATAGTTCAGTGGCATAAGCACCTGCAAGGCAAGCATAAGGTTCTGAATTTGATCCCTGGTACCGCAAAAAGAAAAAAACAAAAATGAACAGATGGAGGAAGAAAGAGGAAGAGGGAGGAAGAAGATGGAGAAGAGGATGCAGAGGAAGAGGAGGAAGGAAATATGTTTAAGGCTTTCAATTACATTTCTTTTTTTTTAAGTGGATACAAGGTCTCACTATGCAGTTCAGACTCATAGTGTTCCTGCTGTCTCAGCTTCCCCAGTGCTGGGATTATAGGCATGTGCCACCACACCTGGTTTCAAGGCTGACACAGCATTGGGGGTGGGGGCCAGGGATCAAACTCAGATTCTTGTGCTTTCCAGGCAGGCACTTAGACTGCTGAGCTATCTCCCCAGCCCCTAAAAAAATTTTTTTTTAATTGGTCTGTGTTTGCAGTACAAAATGACTCCATTCCTTGTGAGGAGCTGCTAATGTACATGACACATGCAGCTCTTTTTACTTCTCTTTCCCATCTGCAAGAGCTCTGCCTGTTTAGGATTTTTTAAACACCTGAGTCTTATGGGGAAATACAATTCTGCAGCAGATGCATTACTCACAGTGAGGACTTACTGGCAGAGATAAATTCTAATCAGATGAAACCATTTCACCTGTTCACACAGCAGGCATCATAAAGCTGGGGGCAGCTCAGAGAACGTGAAGAGGATACAGTTATTAGCTTTCTTCTCTTTAAATTAACTTCGCCGTGCCAGGGAGATAGCACAGCAGCTTAAGCACATGCCTGGCAAGAGCAAGGTCCTGAGTTTGATCCCCCATACCAAACAACAATAATAACTTTGCTAAGGCATAATTTATGACAAAGTATGCAGTATGTCTAACTGGCAAGATGAAGCTAAGGTAAACTTAGGCTTTCATAAATTAAAAGTGTGGGTCTGTGTGGAGAAAGTACATGCAAAATGTGTATCATGGATCTATAGCTTGCTTGCTTTTTTTTCAGAAACGGGGATTGAACTGAGGACCTTGTGCTTACCAGGCAGGCACTTATGCCACTGAGCCAACTCCCTGGCCCATGGATCCATAGCTCTCATCAGATCTTTAAAATAGTACTCCAAAGTGAAAAAAAAGTTAAGAGCTATTGTTTTAAATGTGTTGTCATAAATAATGTACTTTTTTTCTGCGGGGGGGGGGCAGTGGCAGTGGTGAGACAAGGTCTCACTACGTACCCTGGCTGACCTTGAACTCACAGTGATCCTCCTGCCTCAGCCTCTGTACATCCCAATAATGATGTATTGCTAAAGCATGCATGTGGTATACCAGTGTGTCGATACCAAACCATTAAGGCAGAAGCTGCTTCTGTTTATTTTATCTCTGCTTAGTTCTCCTTGTGAAGAGCTTAGCAAGATGTGAACTGCAGAGAGGGCTGCGTTAGCTTTGGGGAGTGACAGCAACAGCAACTCAGGCAGCCTCAGCTCAGGAGGGGAAGCCAGTGTTTCCTCAAGTCAGGGAACTAGGGGCGAGGGTGGAACTCACATTGATGAAGCTGACATTGAGCTCCTTGGCTGTGTAGCCCCGCTGCAGGTTGCGTCTGGCATATACATCGTAGTCCCGGACGATCCGGGTGATGATGTCTGACGTGGAGATGCCCTCTGTCCTCTGTGTTGGCGCGAACATGCCTAACTCAGAACACACAGACAAACATTGTGCTGCTCGCATGCACAGGCAGAGGACAGGGAGCAGGAACAGCACTCCCTCCTGTACTACCAGCAGGCCTGATGCTACTGCATCAAGCCTAGGAGAACTGGCCAATGGTAGGGGCCCTAAGGGAGGCCAGCTGAGAAGAAGAGGGGCCACGTGGCCCCAGGTTAAGAAAGCATGAGCTTGAGGAAATCTTTCTGAACTTAACACAGATACAAAAATCAACGCTCAGACCAAGAACTGGTGGGTGTCAGTGCTACGTCCACCTTTATCTTTCACCCAAAGTGACCTGAAAGATGATGTCAGATTTTTCAGTGACGCTGTCCTCTATAAAGCAGTAGTGTGACCAGATCTCCACAGCTGCCAAGACAGCTTGCTCACCTGCCTCTTTGATGTGCTTATAGACATCGTCGCTCCCAGCAGAAGAGTAAGGGATGTCATCATGGGCTACGAAATCAATCTGAGAACAAGGAAACATCACTTACAACCTAGGATATCTGCCAAACAAAAGACCCAGACATTCTCAGGGCCAGAAAAAGAACAAGAAACACAGGCTAAGTTCTAATGTCCCATTCACAGTTACTTGTGGATTAGAAGCACAAAGTCAGCCAGCGCATCTGTTCGTCAGGAGTGCTGCTTCCCCTCTATGTACCTGGGCCACGCTGTGGTGACATGGCAGGTGGGAGGGTTTTCTGGTTAGCTAGTCAGTGGGGAGAGCCCAGGAAAATCTCCCTGTCCTCCTGGGCTGATGAGGATAAGCCAACTAAGGGCTTCTATAAGTCTGGAAAAAAGGCCACTTTTGTGTCAACTGTCTTTTCTCTCAGTTTGTGAGCAAAGGGGGAATATAAGGATAGGAGCCATCAGCCCTTTTCCTGGAAGAGATATATCTGTACTACAGAGAAATGCAGTGTAAAAAGCCACAGCTAGGCCTCACAATCTCAGGGTGCTGTTGCAAACTTGGGAGAAGATTGATGGCCCTGGAATCAACAGTCTTTTTAGAGACATACATAAGGCCCTTCACTTATGTACTCCTTCTTGAAGAGGTCAGAGCCTTTCACACACTCCTATAATCAAATATGAACCTCCAAAGGCCCCCAGTTTGGACCTATCACCTCAAATGCCCTGAGCATCCTGTCAGGATCCGTGAGCAGCAGAGCAGAGCACAGGGTGAGTGACACTCGGGGCTGAGATTCACAGCTACCAGGAGGAAGGGGAAGCTGGGAGTCCATCTGAAGTGTTGATGTAGAAAAGCTAGAGAGTTGTAGAGGGTCTGTCCTGATCTTACAGTTACAATAAATAGCTTCAGGCCTACCGGGCACTGCTTTAGGAGCACTTTGGCTACCTTTATTTTTTCCTCCCTCTCTGAATAATTCACCACAACCTCCACACAGCTCTAGAGAGAACTGACAGTGTGCACACTGGTACCGCAAACTTGAAGGTCTTCCACAGACCCTTACATCCTCTCATCTTTTGTGGGGAACCTGTTGTTTTAATGTAGGGGAACTCAAAGGACGGAAAAGGCTTTATAATAGTAACTAACTGCTGAGTAACAGAAATGTCCTTGATTTCTGATCCCACACACTTTCTAGCCCCAAAACAAAGCCCTGATAGAAATGTGAGGTGACATAACAGAAGCTGGGTTACCCAGTTTTGTCTCCCAAAATGTGAACTTCATGAACGTGTGGCTGGGCTATGGGGACCCTGAAGAGTTGGCAGGCTAAAGGTGGAGTAGCATCATAGAACTGAAGTGACTGTCCCAGCTCTGCTGAGGTGGTGTCTGTCACAGGCTCTTTGGTCTCTCTGGGACCAAAGTGGAAATCATGATTCTAGAAACTGATTCTAGAAACATGATTCTAGAAAGTGGAAATCATGATTCTAGAAACTTACCGTTGGGGGGCAAACTCTGTGAAAGTACTCCTAAGCCATCAGGCTCCACAGGTGTCAGGGGTAACTAACTCTGTTAGTAATACCATGCCAGGGCCTCTGTCAAACCCACAGAGAAGCTACAGAAAGGGCTGGTGGGCAAGAAGCCCAGTGCCCACTGTCATGCGAGCCAAGAGGCTCAGGGACCTGGGACGGGCACACAGGCCGCGTTCTCACCCGGTGTTCAGCCAGGAACTCAGGTGTCAGTGTCCAGGGCGCATTCCTCACCACCTCATCTACGTAGCGGCAATGCTGTACCGCGTCATAGCGCTCATTCTCGTTCATCACCGTGAAGCCTTTGAAGTTGTGCGTCAGCTCGTCACTGCAGACTGGGGTCACCGCAGGGACAGCTATGAGTCAAGGTCCTCTTTGCCTCCAACCTCTCCCCTCCTCCCTCCCTCCTCCTAGAACCACAACTCACCCGCACCTCAAGTAAAGATCTCCTGGCTGCAGCTCAAACCAATAGTTCTAATCCCAGCTCCTACTTCAGGAGCAGCATCACTAAATAGAACATGTTTGCCCCTTGGAGGAGAGAGGCTATGGCAGGGACTAAGATCTCTGACTCTGAAGACTCTGCTATGTGTTTCTGCATGAATCAAGGTTTTTAAAAAATGTTTTCTATTTATTTATTTATTCATTTAATGAATTTAGTACAGGGTCTCACTACTTAGACTAGACTCGTAGTGATCCTCCTGTTTCCAGCGCAGGGATTACAGGTGCGTGCCATCACCCCCAGTCTCAATCACTATCTCAGCATGCCCTGGGGGTGGGGCTGTCACAGTTTGTGGTACTGGGAATTGAATCCTGTCCCCTAAACTCTACCTAACCAGGCACTTTAGTCCACTGAGCTATCTGGCCAGCCTTGTTTTCCTTTCTTTTTTTATAAAACTCATCTAGAACATGGTAGAACATCTGCTCAGCAGACCTTTGTACTTTAGTGTGTTGAGAGTTCAAAACCAGTTGTCTGGGGTTAGTAAGCTTGCAGCTCTACAACCCAGGCTGACGTTGGAGTGTTTCACAGACTTCACGTAAGAAGGTGGTACCAACTCCATCACTTAAAAATGGAAAGAAGGAACCCCTGCTATTCTAGCACTTGAGAGGCTGAGGAAGGAGGATCACCATGAGCTCACAGCCAGCCTGAAATAGCAAGACCCTGCCTCAAAAAACTGAAAGCTAAACAAATAAAAGTGGAAAGAAAAGGGCCAGTACTCAGATCACATGGAAAGGAGGGAGACAGTTAGGATCTTTTCTAGGCTTTTCTTACCTCCCACAATGAGGTATGTGTTGGGGAAGAGGTTCTTTGCTTGCATCAGAGCCCGGGCATGACCAGAGTGAAACAAGTCAAATATTCCATCTGCATAAACTCGCACAGGTCGCTCATCTAGTTCAAATGAAAGAACTGATCAGCACACACGTTTACCCACTACCTCATCTTTAACAAGATGCACTTGGCTTTGTATGACTGCTCCCTGCTGCACGCTCCTTTCTCCAGGACTTCTCTGGGTAGTCATGCCACTGTGGGAAGCCATGGTTACATCACAGATGTCATTGACTACAAAGACCCACAACATCTCCACCTACTCTTTGCAGCTGCCTTGTATCAGGTACCCAAAAAAAAAAAAAAAAAA